AAAAAGAAGACTTTCAGAATTTGATTTTGCTTTTAAAATATTAGCCATCTTTAATAAAAGCGAGACAACTCAAAACATTCAATAATTAATCAAGAATTAACACCAGGTACTCACAAAAGTTTAGGTCTGTCTTTATCACTTTCATACAGACTAGGTTTGAAGTAGGTTCCAGTGATTTTTATCCCAGATCCCCATTCTCCACTAAAATAACCTTCAATGTAATCTCCATTTGGCATAGTCAGTGTTCCCTAGGTAAAGTCAGAGATATAATGTGGAATTAGAAAAAAATACATTTAATTTTAAAAATCAAGAGAAAAGAAGCACTAAATGGTTAATTGTGTTCTTTTTTTTGCAGTTTTGGCCAAGGCCGGGCTTGAACCTTCCATCCCCTACTCCTTGAGCCACAGGCGCCGCCCTAATGGTGTTCTTTTTTAATTTGCTGTTTATCAGTCCCCAACTCTTTAAAGAACAAACAGAAAAAAATGTGTACATGCATGTCCAAAAAGAGTGTATAAAAATAATCCATGAGTAAAAGAAAAAACTCAAGTCTGGTGGCACTCGCCTGTATTCCCAAACTACTGGGGAGGCTGAAGTGGGAGGATTGCTTGAGTGTAAGAGTTTGACTCCAGCCTAGGCAATTTAATGAGATTCTCTCAAGAAAAGAAAAAAAAAGAAAAGAAAAAACATCACAAGAAAAATTGGAAAATGTTTTGAGTTTTATAAAATGAACGCACAAAATATCAAAATTTATAGGATGATATAAAAGCAGTGCTTATTAGGACATAAGCTATTAATAAGCTATTAATACCTATCTTAGAAATCAGGAAGATCACAAATCTAAAATTCCACCATATATAACTAGAAATCCAAAGCAAGAAATTGAAAGGAAATAAATTAGAACAGAAATCAATGAAATAGAAAACAAAAAATAGAGAAAAATAATGAAACCAAAAGTTGCTTCTTTGAAAGACACACAAAACTGACATTTAACTAGACTAAGCAAGAAAAGAGAGAAGACACACATTTACAAAATCAAGAACTAAGCAGGAGGCTATTATTATCAACCCTGCTGAATTAAAAAGTTCACAGGGTGCTATTGTTAGAATGTTGTGTTCCCTCCAAAATTTGTGTTGAAACTTAATTCCCATTGTGGTGGTACTAAGAGGAGAGCTTTCCGGAGAAGTGATTAAGGGTAGAGCTCACATAAATAGATAAGTGCCTTAGAAAAGGGCTGCAGGGAACTAGCTTAGACCCTTTTGCTCTCTGGCCTTCTGCCATGTTATAGCAGAAAAGATGACTAAGACAGAAAGGAATACTAAGAACAGCTTTATGCCAAGAAATTAGACAACTTAGATGAAATACAAAAATTACTAAGAACACATAGATGGACTAAAGAAGAAATATAAAAATCTGAATACATCTATAACAAGAAACTGATTTAGATATTAAAAATCTTTTCACGGGCCAGGTGTGGTATTTCACATCTGTAATCCTAGCACTCTAGGGGGCTGAGGTGGGAGAATCCCTTGAGCTCGGAGTTCCAGACAAGCCTGAGCAAGAATAAGACCCTGTCTCTACTAAAAGTACAAAAGGTAGCTCAGCACTGTAGTCCCAGCTACTTAGGAGACTGAGGCAGGAGGACTGCTTGAGCCCATGAATTTGAGGTTGCTATGAGACAGGCTGATGACATGTGATTCTAGCCTTGGGCAAGAGAGTAAGACTCTGTCTTAAAACAAAAATAAAAACAAACGTCACAAAGTAATGCTCAGGCCCAGATAATTTCATGGGTCAATTCTACCACACATTCAAAGAAGAAATAACAACAAGGCTTCACAAACGCTTTCAGAAAACAGAGGAGGAAGAAATACTTCCTAACTCTTCTAAGAGGCCAATATTATCCTGATGCCAGACTGACAAAAACCTTACAAGAAAACTATGTCTTACCAGGCAATGTTTGCTTAATTTAAAAAAAGAAAAGAAAAAGAACAATAGTCTATTATGTCTTACAGATGCAAAAATTCTCAACAAAATATTAGCATTAAATCCAGCAACATATAAAAAGAATTATACATCATGACCCTGTATGATTTATCCCAAGAAAACAAGGTTGGTTTAACATCAGAAAAGCAAAAACACACTATATTAGAATAAATGCAAAAAACACATGATCATCTCTATAGACCAAAAAAAAAAAGCACTGTAACAAAATAATTTTCCACTAAAATAGGAAAAAAATTATAAAGATATCCACTCTTACTACTTGCAACATTCTACTGGAGATTCCAGCCAGTGCAATCAGACAAGAAAAAGAAATAAAAGCCTTCCATATTATAAAGAAAGAAGCAAAAAATGCCTGTATTTGCAGGTGACATGATTCTGTGTGCAAAAAATCCTAAGAAATTTACCAGAAAACTACTAAAATAAATCAATTTAGTAAGGTTTCATGATACAAGAACAAAAAAAAAAGTCAATTTTTTAAATACAATACCAATGAACAATTCAAAAATAAACAATTTAATAAAATATTAATACTTAATAATAATATTATTAATACTTAATAATAAATTTAACCAAAGAAATACAAGGACATATACACTGAAACTACAAAACACTGCAGAAATTAAAGAGGATCTAAAAAAACCCCTGAGGGCCAGGTACAATGGCTCACACTTGTAATCCTGGAACTCTGGGAGGCTGAGCTTGAGCTCAGGAGTTCCAGACCAGCCTGAGCAAGAGCGAGATCCCATTTCTATAAATAGCTGTGTGTTGTGGCAAGTGCCTATAGTCCTAGCTACTTGGGAGGCTGAAGGAAGAGGAACATTTGAGCCCAGGAGTCCAAGGTTGCTGTGAGCTATGAGGCCAGAGCACTCTACTGAGGGCAACATAGTGAAACTCTGTCTTAAAAATAAATAAATGAATACAAATTAAAATTTAAAAATCCAAGATGTTCTGTGTTCATGAATTGGAAGATTCAGTATTATCAAAATAGGAATCTTACCCAAATTGATCTATAGATTCATTCCAGTCTCTATTAAAATCTTAGCAGACTTTATAGCAGAATGTGACAAGCCAGTCCTAAAATTTATATGGCAAATGGATAATCAAAACAATTCTGAATAAGAATAAATTTGGACTTAACTTCCTGATTTCACAACTTCCTGTAAGTCTATAATAATCAAGATAGTGTGGTATTAGCAAAAGGAGAGGTATGTTGATCAATGGAATATAATTGAGAGACCAAAAATAAAACCAATTTTTCTTTTCTTTTTTTTTTTTTTTT